CTCGACATCTCCGTGACGTCTATTGTGGTAATTTACCTTGCGCCGTGCCTTATACCGTACCATCGACCGACTGTATGTGCGGTTCGCCTCTAGATACTACTTCCGCGTTCGCATGACCCGGTTAATCGAAGATCTCGCGGACTTCGCGGAGCGAAGCGACGACGACGACGAATCGAGCGCGCGATTTTATCTCGACCCGATTGTGAAAATTTCTCCGATCTTTTGTGTCTTTTATATACATTATTTTAAATTACATAATTTGATCTTTGCCGTTGTCGCATTAATCAATAATAATCCACTGAATTATCCGTCATCGAATTAATCCACTGATTATTCAAATTGCCAAGAGATCATAAGAGTTATTATCAAATAAAACTTTAATACATAATTTGTATATACAATGTTTCGCTCTGACGCAACTGACGTCACGTTTATAATTCAAAGGGAAGAATATACTAAAGCTGTCACGATCCATTTATCACACTAATTGCAGGATGATATACAAATGATGAAACGCTCGGAAATTAAACGTCAAATAAATGTTTTCTTTATGCCGCCGGGAATAATTTCCACGCAAACGTGAACAATAAAATTATTACATTGTCCTCTGCCTCCCCCCCGCCCTCTCCGCCCGTCCCGAAACACGTGTCGGTTACGTAACATCTGCTCCGGCATATTTTCGGTGAGAGACCGAGAGAGTGACAATCGCTTGCATTCATGCGGGAGCGAATTAAAACTCGCTACAGCTCGTTAATTCAGTTACACGCCGTAATAGCGCATGCGGAAGCAGCGAACAAAAAACGTTATTCAATACCGGCCTAAAAAGAGAAAATATAATCACAGTTTGAGCTCCGCGGCGCGGCGGCGTGACGGTCGATGATTCCCTCGCGCAAACGTTTTCACGGCGAAGTTGCAGCGAAATGTCAATATTCGTGCAAGTGCAAGGTCGACGGTAAAATACAGCCACATATAATTTTTAAAGCTAAAAATTAAGAGAACTAAAAAAATATACAATTCAGTTGGGTGTATTTATATATTTTATTTTTTTTCTATTAACACGCATTTAAACATGCAGTATAATAAAGGCTTTTTGCATTATACGCGTATCCATTTCCTTTCTTACGCAACAATTCGATAGTAACAAATAAAACGCTCGTATATTAACATTCGTTTTCGAATAAGTATCGATCTTCATCAATTTGAACTATTTTGCGTGATAGATCACAGCAATCCGCACGCTGAATCGCAATCGCATAAGAGTGTATGCCGTGTACAGACCTTCACTTTCGCCAGATGAGTTATACACAGGGTGTCCCGCAATTAACGCGCGCAACATACTTTAATGTTAACAACACGGGAAAAAAAATTACTGTTGCCACAGCATAACAATAGCGATAATTTTCATCCAACAATTCAAAAGGGTTATAGGAACTAAAATACTTTTGGAAGTGACTTATAATATGTTAACTGAACTCTCAGTCTCAATATGTTGTGATGCAACAATATCATATATATCTCTTAATTATATTGTTGTGCAGACGACAGCAGACCACATTAGGGAGATAACAATAATTCTTCGGTTGAGGCAGTCTCATATATATATGTATATACATATATATGTAT